ATTTCAGCACAATGTCTTTGTCATAAGGCTGGAATTATGCTTTAGTGGTTTGAAGAACTCTGCTGATGATTTTTTTCTCAATGTTCTGGTTTCTTATAATTCACCATATAGTATACTTGAGATGTTATGAATTGCCTACTCAGATCTCATCATGCATGTATGAGAATTGCATGACTTGTGCTTGCAAATTTGGTGCAATTTTCGCCCAATTGCTTATCAAGAAAAAGAGAATAGAGAATCCATAACTACAGTGGATAGCAACTGTTTTGCATGGCAAAGGTGGAGCAACATATTAGGAGAGTAGTGGTATGTTTTGGTTGATCAATGTACACACTGTAAAAAATTGCCATGACATAAAATGAAAGAATAGGCATCCAAAAAATTCTTTATACCAGTTTACACTTTTTCTTGTACCTCAGAAATAGTAATTATGTTAATTTTAAAAACAAGATTATTTTCACAAGCTTATGAAGCATTTTAAAAATTAAAAATACACAACTAAAACCATATTTATTGCACTAAAAATAGACATATTAAATTTTTTTATACTTATTTTACAAGTATTCATTGTGTCCAGCTTTTCTTTTAGAGCAGACAGGTAGGCCTGTGTTATTCGGAGGATTTTACATATTGGAAAGTTAATTACTACCACATTTGAATGAAATCGTGAAAGAATGACATCTTTCAACAAAACACTTGCCCAGCTCTCTAGATTGAGATAATTTGCTGGAGTACCTCACTCAAAATTTGCCATTTGCTGCTAAGGTGAATAGGATGCATAGGTGGAGAAGATGATGTATTAATGGTTACAGCTGAAAACGTTGCGGAGAAAACAACGCAAGGCGAAAACGTCGTGCTACAAAACATCGCAGTTCTAAAACATCGTCGTCGAAAATAAAGCAGTTAAAAAACTTCGCAGTTTAAAAACATCGTCGTCGAAAATATCATGGTAAAAAATAAAGTATCTACAAATCATCGCATAACGATAACATCGCAGACATGCTTTTTTCATGGAAAGAAGGATAATTTTTACTTTCATATTTTTTATTCACTAATAAATTTTTTATGAGAAAATAAGAAGGAAACTTACGCATAGAAAATTAATGCAACTTGTATCACTCAATAGAATTTTAAACCGACATAGTTAACTAACAAAGGCCATTAATAAATCCTTTTTATAAAGTTTTTACTGGCAATTTTTCATGAAAAGTATAATCTATAAGTTGCCTTAAATTAATTAATGCAATAACTTAATGCAATAATTTAACTTTTTCAGCAAAAATTTATTAGTCAATAAAAAGCTGTGAAAGTAAAAATTATCCTTCTTTATATCTTGCGCTCACAAATCCTTATGAGGACCATATTTCCATTTACAGTTATTAAAGCCTGAAAAAAGCATGTTTGCGATGTTATTGTCATGCGATGATTTACAGATACTTTTTTTACCACGATATTTTCGACGACGATGTTTTTAAACTACGAAGTTTTTTAACTGCTTTATTTTCTACGACAATGTTTTAGGGCTGCAATGTTTTGTAGCACGACGTTTTCACCTTGCATTGTTTTCTCCGCGATGTTATTGGTGGACACCGTATTAATATGGTAACTGCCTCACTCTTCTCATTTAATTTCATATGACTTTGGAGGGCTCCACTTGTTGCTGATCTCCACAGTATATTTCTGATCCTGTGGCGTTGGCCAGTTTTGATATACTGGCATATGGGACAAAAGATTTTATCACATAAACGTCCACCACATTAGTTAAATCCTTACTAATTTACAAATGTGATTGTGAGTTTGTGTGTTTGTTTGTTACACTTTCACGCCTTAATTACTTAACCGATCATCATGAAATTTTCAAAAAATATTTTTGATATATTAGAAAATGTTATAGGCTACAAAATGTCTTCGTACGACTTAAATTAGCCAAGATATTAATTAAAAACTACTATTCCCCTCCTACATTTTTCACTTACTTTGTTGGGTTTTTTCCCTATTAAAGTGGTTTGGCTATGCACCAATTAATTTTTTCACAAATATCTATAGAACGGCGGTTGGTTGAATTTCGAGACACCTGATTCCAAAAACGTCGTAATCCATTGATACCATTCTCATCTTTGTATGACTTTAATCAGCAGAGATATTAATTAAAAAGGCTAATTTGAATGAGACTCAATAGCGACATTAGGGATTTTTTCTTAGGTCTTCCCGTGTGGGTCCAATAAATTGGTGATAAAAATTATAACTTTTGATCTAATTATCCAAATTTCTCGAAATTTAGAAACTTTTGTTGCATTCTGAATGATAGGTACAATGGTGGTGGAACTGTTTTTGTCGCTTAATTATTTCCAGCTTAATCAATACTCCGCTTGCTATTGTTAACTTTTTGTTGACAGGCTGCAATTCGGAAGCGACAGAGGGGAGGTAGCTGGTATCTGGTCGACCGTTGGGTTGGCGAATAGCTCAAAATTCACAGATTTACACACGGAAAATCATTTAAAAATTAATAACTTCTAATTAACTTAATTTTAAGTTTTACATAGTTGTCTATCTTTTCTCATTTGATATATCAGTTATTTTTCTCTAATGAAGGCGTTATCAGTAGAATCAGTGGACGAAATTAAGTAAGGCAAATCAGTAGAAGAAATTTAAGTAAGGCAATAATGTGACTGAAATATATTTATCATTTCCATTCTTTCCACACCAAAATTAAGAGTAAGTAAGTTACTCTCAGTTACCAGAGCTCGGTATAGTAAGGTCTGTTAGCTGTGTTACAGGGTTAAATATCAAGATGATATCTATTTTTGATATTGGAAGAGAAAGGTTAAAGAATTGAAATTCCAGTTTAAGGGATTTAACACAATGTGTTTAAAAAGAAAAAAATATTCAATAATTATATTTACATATCTTGAATGTCATGTCAAACACGCGAAAATGCATAATCATTGTTTTGAGAAAAAATCTTAAATAATGAAAAAAATTTTTAAAAATTGGAAGAACCTGAACCAGTTTCACATAATGTAAAACTTGAAGAAAAAATGAATGAGAAGCAGCAAGAAATGCAGATTTGTAGTTTTGGTATCATGCCAATAATATAGTAATTGCAGTCAAACTCCACAATAGCAAACTTTAAGGGACCACAAGTTTGATTTGCTACATCTGATCTGATATAAAAAATTTAAAAAATCTGATGTGTACACCACCTGACTTCACTGTATTAAAATGTACGCACTTTTTCTTGCATTTCTTTTAAACTTATTTCCTCGAATTTCATTAGAGATAGATTTCTCATTCAATTAATTCATTTCTCACTTCGCAACAAGGCAAAAATACATAAAAACCTCAAAAAGATCCTTATTAAAAATTTAAAAATATAAAACACCAAACACAGTTAAAAAAAGCAGTTTTTACAATTTAAATTGGAGTATCTACTCAAAAACAAGCAGTTCGGCCAGCAGGCAAAAAGGCAGATTTTTCAGGCACAAAACCAAGTTTCCTTTTGGTTCCACTCAACAAAAAGACACTGAAGGTGTAGAAACTTTCACTTAATTCACTAAGTTTCGGATGTAAACAAATGGCTGCTATCGTTAAAAAAAATTGGCTCACCCGTACTTAAACACTTCTAAAGTGCTAATAATTCTATAACTATTGCATGCAGATTAACCAAAGGCATAAAAACCTTAACTCGAAGATAAGAGCATAATTTAATCATTTTTAAAGCAAAAACTGTACAAGATATATATATATACTTTTGGTGTGGCCAATTGCAACCAAAAAGGGAGGTGCACAACTACATGTTATAGCAGTCCTATATGTAAAATTTCCACATTTCTGAGGCTACATGTTTTTGAGTTATGCGAGATACATGCACAGGTATGTACCGACGCCATGAAAAAATCTCTTTTGAATCCACTTTAAATGTTTTATAATTCGTTTGGGGAAAAAAAGAGTCTTTTATTGTCCTTACATACAGATGTCATGCAAAAACATCTTTAACCCTCTGAGCGGCCAGAATTTCGCTAAGAAAGCACAGATTTCCCAAAACTTACTATGAGAACAAATTATTTTTTTGATTTAATATAAAAACTCTCCTGGTATTTCATACCTGGATTTGTTTTCTTTTGATATATTGCCTTAATTTCTTTGACATATTTTAATTTGCACGTATATATACGTTCTTACAGATACCACTTTTCGTGATTACAAAACTTCCTTTACTTCATACAAGGAAGTAAAAAGAAAAGCATAGTCTTTCAAAATAATGCAATTTTATCAGAATCTATTAATTACATCTCTTTTCCTGAACAATAAAAATTTTTTAAAAATTTACACAACAGCGTTAGCCTTGAACATTCAAAATTTCCATGACAGCATTAGCCTTGGACAGACTCCACCTGACAGTTGAATAAAAGAACTTGAATTGAATCAAAGAACCCATTCACTTTTTTTGTCTTATTCATCACATATGCCACTGATGTCCTACAATATGCTTGTTATGCGTTCTGATTTTCCAAAAACTAGTCTGCACTTGCCTTGCATAGCCTTTATTTAAGAATACAGGGAAAAAAGGGATGAAGATAAAAATGACTAACATGAAAGGGATTTCCTTATTTCTAATATGGGTGGGAGCCTAAAATCTTAAACATGGTTGATTTTAGGCTCCCCATTTTTCATTCAAAACTTGTCAGAATTCTGGACAAAATTATGAAAATTACAAATATTTCATTCAAATATATCCATAAAATTCTCTATATCTATTTTTGTACATCTGGAAGTTTGTTTTAGCTGTATAAAAATAGCAACAAGTGTGAAGGAAATTGGATGGAACAAAAAAAAGTTTGTTTATTATAATCAGGGCTACTTATAAACCAGGTTTGCCAAAGCTGGGTTTGACTACATTAAAATATTAAATCCATTTTAAAATCATCATTGCATAAATTTTGCATATCTGTGAATCTTTTTTGGCATATATTAATATTATTATATTATTTTATTTACAGGTTACAAATATATGTTTGATGAAAAATTGGTCACAGTATGGTCTGCACCAAATTATTGTTACAGATGTGGTAATATAGCTGCCGTTCTTGCTTTCTCAGATGTAGATACTCGTAAAGCTAAGCTCTTTAGTGCCGTGCCTGACTCAGAACGTGTCATTCCACCTCGAATAACAACACCATACTTTTTGTAATGATTTCATAGCAGTTATTTTGAATTGTTTCTTATGTAATAAAAACTGTTAAGACCTTGCTGTCTTATGCATAATGTACATATAAAAAAATTAAATAAAGTTTTTGTAAAGAATTGGATCTCTTATATGAAGAAAACTTATCTGTAAAACATGATATATTTTATAAATTGGTATGACAATTTTATTACCAGTAGTTAAACAATTAATTGAATGTTCTTAAATTTACTTTTTTTCTAGATGAAATGCTTTTTCTTTACCATGATATGAGCCTATTGCTCTCCATAGCCTATGGGTTCTAACATACTGTATGCTGTCTGATAATTTAAATCATCTTCACTATGGGAGTTTTGCCCAAAATTTATTCTATTTATTCTTTAAATTTTCATTTTCACCTTTTTTTTATTTATTAAACTAGTTTTAGAACAAAATTTGATTCATCGTAAATATTCCTACAACACCCCTAAGACATGCAGCACACAAGAGCTTACGTCTTAGAGATGTCTTCATAGAGGACTTTACAAGGGAAACTGGCTCATATTCGCAATACGTATGGAGAACAACAATCAAAAACAAACAAATACGTATGGAGAACAACAGCCCGTTCATCTGGGATCGAACTCCTACTATTGATCAGTCTTAAGTGTTTAAGAAAGAGAAACTGGAATGTTAAATTTTATATGATCTGCAACACATTTATTTTTTATTGGTCTATATAAGCCTCACGTCTATGCAAGTTGTAGATATCAGTCACAGCTGCCCATTGCTTGCTGTCCAGAATATCAGTTGACAATACATACATGGTTTTGAGTTTTAGGTTTGTTGTACTTCAAAGAATAACCACGATTTAACCTAGCTATCTCGCTCTAACAGCACAATTTTAACATACTGCATAATAGCACAAGAAACTGCATTTTGAAAGTTCTGTAATAATTGAAGTTTTTGAATAAAATTAATACAGTCAAAAGTCGTTAATTCAGACTCGTCGGGACTTTGGCGATTCCGGATTATAGATCATCAGTTTAAATCTGGTAAGATGGCATGCAGAAATTATAAAATTAAAAATATGAAACCGTAATTTATGAAATAAAGAACAATTATGATCTAAAGGGTATCAAAATTTACAAAAAAAAGCTTAATATTTATTTGTTTACTTTATTAAACATTTCTTTCAATGTAAGTTGTTTAAGTTGCTTCGTTTTCTTATCTGATAATACATTCTCTTTAATTCTATAAATAGACATAATTTCTTGTTCAGTTACAAAGTTTCGCTGTTCAAGTCCTATACTTGCTGTGTCGAGAATACCGACTAATTTGTGAATCGAAATTTTTTCGTTTTCAATAACCTCTGTTACTTTCTTCGCTATCGGAAGCGAATTATAATGACGAGGAATTTGATTTAAATCATATCAAAGACGGAGTACATCGAGATGAAATACTACATTTAGTAAGGAATTATAAGCCAAATAAAATAAAAACGTCTGCCCTGAAGATAAGGATAGTGCTGACAGATCAACTTCCAATTCATTGCACCGCCGCAGCGTTAAAGATAAACAAAGGATATGCCTTTATCCATTTTTTGTAGCAATTCCACTTTTTGTTTAATGGACTTCGAAACATACTTTCGCTTTGCAGATCCTTTACATATTAGTAAATATATATCAAAAATTCTATTTGACATAATCGAAAGTTCAAGCTTACTTTTATAAAATTGCTCTAACAGTCTGCAAAAAATAATAAGCCGAATCCAATTCGAAGATTAAGGAACAACCCGTCCTTTATACATTAAACGCGCATTCGTAAACGTATTTTGCACACACGCATATTTGCAGCCGTAAAGGTCAGCCTCCGTCAATGCGACGCAAGCGCAGAAAGTTTGTAGCTTTGATATCCGGATTATGGGTGTCCGAATTAATGACTTTTGACTATATGACTTTGACATGTGGAACAAACTGTATGTTTTACTCTGATTTTAAGGATGGAACACATTCCATTATCTGCCACCATGACAAACCAAATGGAGCAAAGTAGCATCTTGGCTGCAAGAGAGCTGAAGTTAAAAGTGCACAATTATCCAATATGGAGGCTCACCAAGAGGAGCTTTTGTTTTAGGTTACAAAGGTTTCAGTTTTCAAAATTGTACATTTAGGTTTCAAATGAGTTACATTATCAGTGTTATGCAAAGATGGAATGATCTAGAAATGATGCAGTCCAGAAAAGTTATGATTTTTAAAACAGTGAGGGGTAATTACAGGGTTAATTTGGATTTACATATTCTTACTTATATATAAGGGCGAGTCAAATGAAAGTGAGCCAATGCGAATATATGACAAACAGAGTACATTATTTAAAGGTAGTCTCCATGAACATTGAGACATTTATCCCATTGACAAATGAGCCGCGTGATCCCCGTCTCATAAAAGTCCTTGGACTGTCGATTCAAAAAGTCTGTAACCGACTCCTTCACGGCGTCGTCCGACACGAATCTGGTACCCTTGAGATGTTTTTTCAGTTTCCCGAAAATGTGAAAGTCGCATGGCGACAAATCTGGGCTGTATGGAGGATGTTGCAGCGTGTCCCACTTGAACTTTTGCCAGTTGTGTCTTAACCACATCAGCGACGTGGGGACGAGCATTGTCGTGTAGCAAGATCACACCATTCGTCAATCTTCCAGGTCGTTTGTTCTTGATTGCGACACGCAGCCGATCCAGCGTTGCACAATATCGCAAACTATTGATATTCTCTCCACGTTTAGCAAATTCAATTAGTAATGGCCCCTGACGATCGAAAAAAAAAAAGTCAATAGCACCTTTCCTGAGGAAATTCCACTGTAAGCTTTGCTGGCGTGTTTCAGGTTCGTAGTGGTGGCACCATGATTCGTCTCCGGTCACAATTGCAGACAAGAAGTCGTCACCCTCATTGTGATACCGTATGAGATGAGTCAAAGCAGCACCGAACCTCTCCATCTTCTGGCGGTCGTTCAAAATCTTGGGCATCCATTGAGCACACAAAAGCCGATAACCGAGATGATCATGAATTATGGTATGAAAGAACCGTGACTTATGTTCACACGCTCTGCCAGTTCATCAATGCTTATCCTCCGTTCTTGTCTAATCAGCAGCTCATCACCTGTGCAATTGTGTCGGGGGTGATTGCAAGGTGGCTTTTGGCCCGGTCTTGGATCGTCTTTGCAACTTTCACGTCCTTCTCTGAACCGTTTTGCTCCAACGCTTCACAGTGGCCAGTGCGATGCAATGTTCACCGTACACAGCAGTCATACGGCGACTAATTTCATGTTGGGAAACACCTTCAGCTGTCAAAAACCTGACCACACCACGCTGTTCCTCTTTTGTAGCGTCCATTATGTCACGCTAACGTCTTCAACCCATAGTGTAAGAGTGCCTTAAAGAACTTTGAACCTCAACACTTTCGCGCCACTTTCGTAAATGAAGGCTGTCTCTGTGCTACACGCATGCGCCGCAGATGATGGACCGAACCATTCTTGCTGAGGAGGGGTTGGCTCACTTTCATTTGACTCGCCCTTATATATATAGTCTCATTATACAATATGTATGTAATTGTACAATATATACGTATATGCATATAAAATATAGTTACAACTAATAAATTAGTAAAGTAGTATTGCATTTGTTATGCAAAGCACCATCACTATATTTTTGCATTAAAATTTTACTGGTAGAATTCAAGTACAACATAATAATTACAATACATTTGTTCTAACAATTTTATTGCAATAACATAACAGATTATATTAAAATAAAAAATATAATTTAGTCATCTTTAAAAGTATAAAACTTTATGAATAACCAATATCACAAATTTTAAGGCATGATACCAGAGCCAATGCTCATCTTGAACACGTCAACAAGAATTTAAAGTAAAAAGGAAATCACACAACAAATCTTGCTGTTTCCTTATCAACAATCCAGTGCAGATCCCCTTGTGTAGGACGCACAAGTGCGGCTGGTAAAGGACGAAGACCATTTCCCTCAAGAATTTCCTAAAAGAAACAATTACATAATTTATGGTATTTTAGATAATCTTATATGAGCAGAAAAATTTTGATTACACAACTATATAAATATTAATCGAAGTATAATAGCTTTTAGTATTAATTCAATTTTAATACAATACAGATCATGTTAATAAAATAAAGCCATAAGATTAAGCATCTAGAAATTTTTTGTTGTGCACGTCACCTTTTTATGGCAAAGTTTGGTAAAGAATGAATTTACGTACCACAATATTTCAATACTATTTAATCAGAAATCTAACAAATACAGCTATGAAAATTTATATTTATTTTAGATTTTAAAATTATCAGTCATATTACTATATTGGATACAAGTAATTTCGAATCTAGAATTTAGTGCCCTGCTACATATAAAAATTCTATGAAAGTAAAAATGCATACTAACTTTAACTTGAAACTACAATGTACACTGCGAAAAAAAAGGAGCAGTTCTATATCTCTTCTAAGAAGAGTAATGGGCAATATTGCCTAAGCTCTTTTCCTTCTTTTTATAAAAAGGCTACTCCTATATTTACTGGGCCGATTGACGAAATTCAACTTATGTTTTTTATGTCTCGAAAAATGCGACAAACTGAAAAAATACACCAAGATAAATTTAATTTCTCTGTAAATTTCGCACCAAATTTTACAAAAGATAATATTTAGGCATAATTTAAGTTGTAGAATCGAAATATTGAAAAAAATTGGCATGTCATTTCAGAAGTACGATTTTGTGTCAAAATACCTATATTAGAACAATGCTATATATAAATCTAATATATAGCCTAAGTTGCACTTTTGAGACATAAAAAACACAATGTGAATTTTGTCAATCAGCCCAGTAGAACAGGAGATATAGAACTGTCCTTCCTTTTTTTTTTTTTTTTTGTCATGCAATGTACCTGCACTAGTATTACAATACAGAATATAACAATAAGAAGAATGAAAATAAATGAGGTACAATTAGAATTAAATATGAGATATTTTATGAATTATTAACTTTAAATATAAATTAGTGATGTGATATTTAGATAAATGACAATTGTGATAAGTTGTTGATAGACTTGAAATTCTTCAGATGTC